AGCTGGCCTGAAACTTTAACTTATACACTGAGGTCATCTAGTGTAGCAGCTTGCAGGATCAGAGGTGGCACTGCAAGGTGAATTAAAATACATTTGTGTTTCCTGTACTGCATGTGAAGATCAAAGTTACAGTAGTGATTTTTTCACTGTTTTTACATCAAGGTTTATGTAGAACCCAAGTTTGGCAATGAGTTAAACAATTAATGTGGTCAGAATTTTTTTTATAAATCCTTGACTTTATCTTTACCATGTTATTAAGAAAACAATATCTCCCTAATAAAGCTTTTCGTATACTTCTGCTGCTGCAGTAGCTTCGCAAAGTGAGGTCAACTCACAATGGAGCAGGGAATTTTATGGGGTTTATTTTCTGATTTTCTTTGGTGTAATAGCTGCACTGAGAAAATGACTAAGTTTAATGGTTTAATTATGCAAAAATAAATGGTTTTCGTAACTCCTCCCACTGAACATTCTCTCTCTCAAACAAGATACAGCATCAGAAGAGGCTGATAAGTACTGTGACTTAGTCTTCAAGATTATATGTGTCATTTGATTGAGATTAATTAGGCAGAAATATTCAGTTAACTCTGAAATAAGCCTCTGACTGTTCTGTCTGATGGTTTAAATTCCTTCTTTCTAAGAGAGATATCTATAACCTTATGCCAAGGGATATGTGAATTTAGTAGGAGCGCACAGGTATCACTGTGGTAATGCACTGTTATTTAAGTTAAACAATATACAAATGATCAGAAGTAACAAGGACATAAAAAAGGTGATGGTTTTAATCTGTGATAATAATATAAAATTGCATGAAGCCCAACTTTATATTCTTTTTCATGTAGGCTACGCACTTATTTGATACAGAGAAAATCAGGTCTGTGGATGATAGAGTGATCAGTGTCATCCCTTTACTCATTCAGGACAGAATTTTTATCTCTGTTTTTTAACAAACTAATTCAGTACTTTTTCTGCAACATTTGGGGACTTAGCACACATCTTCAAGCGTTCAGCAGTTGTAATTCTTGTACCTGTATAACTCAGTGTCATATTACACCTCTCGCTTTCATTGAAAAAGCTTTCAAAGTCATTAATCTTCACATCAACAATAAGTCTTTTTTGTAGTTTTGAAAATTAGATTACTATGTAATGGACAGCTGCTATTATGTACCTTGGAACATTTCACTTTATTAATGATTCTTGATGTCTTGTTTTCTCATTATTTGGATTTAGCTCCTCTTTCACTCAGGTATATTGGTGTCCCTAAGCCTTTCTGGGCCACAGCTGGAGAAGGTGGTGATTGACAGGACCCTGGTGGGGAAGCTCATCTCCGACACCATCAGTGATGGTAATTACACCCACGTGCAAATCGATTGCCTACATTAACAATAGAGTAGAGAAACAGTATGTCAACAGGTAGACTAATTATTGCCACTGGGGACTTGCAAACACAACAAGTAATTGCATGTAAAGCCATAGTTACAACCCTCAGGACTAAGAACACTTTAAGAATAATATTTAACATCAAAGTTTTCAGGCTTGTCAAATACTGAATAGGTTTCTAAAATTCAGTTTCTTACACATTTTAATCACTGTAAACATGCCCTTTTAACTTGTCATGTTTATTTCATAAGTTGGAAAATGGGACAGACCAAAGATTAGCCAACTGATTAATTACATGGTATAGTTATTATTAAAATATTTACTTATTAGAAAAGACTGGATAACATTAGTTGTATGGAGGTGTTCTGAATTAGTTTCTAGATTTACAGAACCTCACCATTGTTATTAACTAGTGATTGCTAAAAAGGAAATTTTAGTTTAATGCAGAAGGGAAGTTATGAAACTGTACCAGTTTTCAGCAGCTTTATAGTACAACTATAGCTTTTTCAATGTCTCTCTACAGAGCTTCACTGAGAACCCAAGCAAGTGTCAGTCTTGGCATCTGCATGATCAAGAATATGGTATTTCAGTGCAAGCCAAATTACATTATCTCCCAAAATCTTTAAAAATAGGCCCAAGTTACATTGTTTTAATAAGAATATATGCTAGATTTAGCTTTGATCTTTATCTATTTTCTTCCATACCTAGGCATATATTGAATGTTGGCCTGGTTATTTAAGAAAGCTGCAATACTGTGTCCCACTGATCTTTTCTTACCCGTATATTGTAGTTTAGTCTTGAAAAATAACATTAGCTGTTAGTAGAAACTTTAGTATCAAAAAAATTAACCCTAACCTCATTTTTTATCAACTAGTTACACAGAGGGTACAAAACATGTCTTGACTCCCGTTTTTCACTCTTCACTTTACTCGATTACTAATTCCATCTCAGATTTTTCTGCCCTCCGTTTCCAGAGGGAGGATTTCATACTTTCAGGTGACAAAAAGTAGGAAAGCATGGAAGCTAAGGTTATAACCAAGTTGAAGTTGTTTGTAGAACTTATTTAGAATACTATCTTATTTTTTTAAAAAAAAGTAATTAAATTATACATATTTTGCCTTACAATGGCTTAATATATCATAGAAATACAAACTTTAAAAAAAAATACTGCTAACTAAAAAATTTACAACTAAAGAAATAATAAAGCAACATATATATTTTCCTACCATTATACCTCTCAAACTGCTATAAATAACATTATGTAATGGTTTGTTCTTATTTTCACTTATTCAAGAATTTCTTGTACCTCCATGTTTGATAATACCCATGCCTGAAGGTGAAACAGGACTGCTTCTGTTCACTAAAAGCAAAACTTGTCATTGCAATATTTTTTTCATGAACAACAAAAGAACCTACTTTTGTTACCCACACAAATAGTGTTCAAAATACTGATTTTTATACTGAAATATCCGTATGTGAGAACAACGTCATAATTTTTCCTAGAATAAATTGACTTTAATCCAATGCAATTTCATGTTTTTCCAAGTCTAGGTTGGAATTAGGGTTGGGATTATAAAGTCTAACAAAAGAAAGTTAGTGTTTAGTACAAGAAGTCTGTATAAAAATAACAGTTCTTATTTTATTATTGTGTATGTGTAGAAATGGGTAAGATTACGATCTGCCAAAATTACTTATGAAATGTTGCAATTCTAACTCAGAGTAACATGCCCTCTTAACATTTGGAATAAAGGTCAGATCGTGTGCACAAAATACAGAATTAACATTGCATTTATAATCCTCCTGCCTATAATAAAGTCCTCCTGATTTGTATTATTTATAGACAAAATTTAAAAATAAATTTAATTCGAAATTATAGAAAAATTGTTTTCCTAAAAAGAAATTGTATTTTTCATTTTCTAAATTATTTTGTAGCACTGAGGTCTTGAAGTGCTAGTATATAGAATATTAACTACACTGCCTGTCTCTGTAATCTGACTCTGCAACACATGGGTCCTCTCTGAATAGTGGTCTAACTATGCCTACAGTTGCATTCATGTCAATCTGGTCTCCACTCTTGCCCCAGACAACCACGGATACTGAAAATCAAAAGACTGCTAGTCTCATTCACACCTGCCCAGGATCTTTGAATCCTGCTTTCTTTCCTTCAACCAAAACAAAATTCAGAAGCATCTGAGGTGTGCTGTAGGTCATCTTTAATGTAAACTGTATCTGTGAAGATATAAAAATATTTTAACTATGTGCATATTGAGGATACTATACTGAGTGGCTTTGAATTTTCATGTGTGTTTAGGATCTTGGTTACAGCTTCTAACTCACAATGTCAGATACTTTATCACCGTTTCTTTTTTTTTGAAAAGCTAGTGTTAATGTTACATTTCAAAGGCAATTATTTGGCTTTAAAGTTTACCCTTTAGCATTTGCATACCAGATACTTCAGAGCTGTGCCAGTATATGACTATTGGGAAATGAAAGTGGTTGTAAATCAGACTAAATCAAAGCAAAGCTGAGTAGACAGTTTTCACTGCTTATATGTAAGACTAAACTGTCAATCTACTTATGGATATATAAAAAAAATTTAAGAATCTATGATATTAATCAGAAATGCTTTTTTTTTTTTAGTTTGTTTTTCAGGGGCTGTTCCGCAGGGTTCTGTTTGTTTGTTTGTTTTTAAATCAGGTTCCCCTTTACTTGGCATTTTCCTTTTAGTAGAGGTTTCTGAGTTTACTTTCTGAAAACAGCTTGCTAGCTTTACTTTAAACCTGATTCTCATTATCAGTTTTTCAGGGATCTGGTAATAGTTACCCTGATGACTCACTTCATTCTCAGACATCTCTTTAAATATGGGCACTACTTGAATAGCTGGATAACACTTGGGAAAAATCCTAGATACTATTGTCTAATTAATTTTCATTGTCAAATCAGTTATTCACTTTTATATTGAACTAGTTTGGTCTAGCACCCCCTTATGATAACAGCAGGGATTCCACTGCACTTTTCCAGACTCCGAAAGGAGTCTGTTCCATCTCGGTTACCTGTGTTGTTTGGGTACCCCCATGCGAAGCTTTCAACAAATTCATAACCCCTCTAAAGCATAATCCTGTGTGTAACACACTCCTTGGTGTCTGCAGCAGCACTCAGAACCTTACAATGTCAAAATACCGGATGCACCTCAAGTACTAATTTGCATTTATCATCCTTAACACAAGCAATGCTGTATTAGGTGCATTTCCAAAATGCTCATGGATGTTACTGTAAGAAAAAAAAAAATTTGAAGTCTGAACCAAGATGAAAATGAATGTGGAAGGGCGTAAAACATATGTTTGAATGTGGTGGTAACTTGATATGACATAATTTATTCAGGTTTATGTAATCGGAGTACTCCCTAGGCTTTATTTCTCATTTTCAAGAAGGTCCTGGCAGGATGACACATTGATGTCTTTTAGGAGATCACAGAGGCTTCAGTGTAATATTTAAGACAATGTCGTGAAAAAATTGCTTTTTGCAATGTCTCAGTGGAGGGCTCAGTAATTTGTTTTGTTACTAGAAACAGGCATTACAGTGGTGACAATTTTTATTTGTTTTTCAGCTGTTCTTACAGACAATTTCATCATCTTGTCATTTGAGGACCATAACCAGCTCTGCTTTATTCAGTTTACAAAGAAGATGGATTCTCATGATGTAAACAAAAGACTGGAAAAACTCTCTTGTTTGGACTTTAAGGTATAGCTGTCAATGGTGACTGTAAATACTGCAAGAACTTTACATTATGAATCACTGGTACTCGCTGATATTGAATAGCTGTATAAATTGGAAACCTTTATATAACTGATCAGAACAGCTCAAGTTCTAAAAATGGCAGTTATTGAAAAGTCAAAAAAGATTACATGGCATTCTGAGTTAATGAGTTAAAATACTGTGCCAAGAGGGATCCGATTTTCTGCTGTATTTAGGTTAAGGGCTCAGACACACTGTTGAGTTACCCCTGCTTAACAGATTACCTTGTGTCAGCTGAGCAGCAGTAACTGACCCTTTACACATTCTCAGCATCTAACAAGCATGAAGCAAAATCTGTAATGGTAAACCTCAGTGTAAAAGATTTAAGCTAATGTGTTTTACCTCTTGTTTGCTGTGGGCTAAAAATGCACACATGGTCAATTACTATGGCTCAGCTGATACACATGAACTCATGAAGCTATGATAATTCAGTCATCTGTCTGAGAGCCAAGGCTGTTGTAGTTCTTTGCAGAAATCTTAATTTTCCCTCTAGTTACAGTAATTGTATTGTTGGGAGAGTTGGTTCAAGCCACTGAGCTAGGACTCAAGATACAGAAGCTGAGCGTCTCACCACTAACAAACTCTGCATGTGACCTTAGGCAAGTGACTTGGTGCCTCTGTATCTCAATTCACTACTTACACAGTGAAGATTAAATACTCTTTTTTTCCAGCCTTTGTGTACGGGTGTGTCTATATCACAGTCACGGCAGTAGCTGAAAAGTAGTCTGGAGATAGCTGAGCTGGCTATAACTAGCCGGTTTGGATGTCAGTAGAAACCAGCTCATCTCAAGCTGAATTACACTGTGTCTTGGATGGATTGGGCTGTGTAGAGATAACTTATTTCAACCATAGGGTCTTTGACATCAGGGAAGTGGCTGACCTTAAGTGGAAGTGCTTGATGCTACAACTGTATGAAAAAATAATCAGCCAGAGGCAATTAACTTTGAACAGGCAGAGTACGAAGGGGCTTCATCCAATTCACTGCAAGAATGAAGAAGAGACAAGCCTTTGCCCAAGAAAGGTAGAAAGATGTAATAAGCAAGAGAGAGAATTTGTATTTATTTCAGACTAGATAAATGTTAAGGAAAACAATCTTGTGCTAGCAAATATTTTCCCCTTGACAACCCTTCAGTAACTTGCTTCCTCTCATAAGGGAGTTTGCATCTGCAAAGCAAGCTTTTTAAGAATGTGTTTAATTTAAGTTTTGCCATATTACGTTTTAACTTGCTTGGTAGAAATACTTTCTGCTAGGATGAATATCTAATACATTTTCCAGGCTGTTTCAGTTCAGGGCCTCTTTTCAGCAATGACTTGTGTTTGCGAGATTGATCCAACCTCTATAACGTGGATTTGAGACAGTTCACTGTTCACCAGGAACTGAGCTGATACGTAGTTTACTTTAAAATGATGTGCACTTGTGCCTGGCCTATGGCGTTTGTTAAGGTTGTACTTTAGAAGCAAGGGTGGTGTGTGGTGTGGGGTTTTTTTTAATAGCTCTAAACTTTAATGAAGAAGCTGTGGTGAGCTGAAGACTGCCTTCATCATGTAATTGTGAGGACCATACCTCCTTACTTAATACATGTTTAGAAAATATGTTTTCATTCTGGGTATTGCTGGGCACATTTTGGATCTAATGGCTATGGTGGTTTTTTTCTTGGGAAAGAAGGAAAGCCTAATCCATAAAAAACTCTCTCAGCCCTAGGAAACCAGAAATATCTACTGTACTCCTTAATAGGGTTGTTATGTTCAGTTCTTTGCTGACACAGCTGAGCTTGTAGAAACGCCTCAATGTTAACTTTGCTTTCTCTTGAAATCAGTGGGAATCACTATGGATTATTTCTTTGCCAGCCAAAAAGAGGCATTTGCATTTTTTAATTGAATGTTCTTTTGTGTGAGGCTTGCTAGTTAGGCAGCTAAATATAATTTTTATTATCTTCAAAATTGCAACAGTGCAAGCCAGCAGAAGGTGTTATTCACTACTACAATAATATTATGTCGGCTCTCTGCATTGAATTAAAGTTCTTCATGGCTGCTTTTGGTCAAACTTAAAAAAGCTAGAAGATCACAGACACAGTCAACAGTAGTGTCCTATCAGTAGTAAGAAAAGAAACAAAAGATGGTCCTCAATTGCAAATGTGCAAACTTGCAACAATACATGCTTTAGAAAAAACAGTTCCTTAGCGTTGATTTTTTTTTTTGAAGATGAATTGAATTAAGAGTTAGCTCGCACTGGTATAAAACTACCACAGGATTAAAATATGGAACAAAGATTCAGGAAATTTGAGTGTAGCCTTCGTCTCTGCCTCTGACTTTTGGTGTAGCCTTGAGAAATGTACATATTTTTTTGGTTTAAATTCCCATTTCTAAAATGAGGAAAATGCTTGCTTACAATCATGTGTAATGACATAATTAAATTTCTGTAATCTTAACATTGTAACTTCTTTTGTACCTGGAGAGAAGCAACTTCAGATTGTTCACTGTCCAGCCTCATGGTGGGCAAAGTTGGGAATGCTAGGCAGTACTGGAATACCAGGGTGCTATTAATAATAGTAAGCCAACCATGCTTTCCTCCTCACAGTTTGATATTTATCTAAAAGTTGGGGTTTTTACACAATACATACCCACATGAAAGAATTACTTTCTCTGTCCTCTTCCTTACTAAACAATACCACCTTGTATTTTATTTACACTTTGAAAAAAGAAAGGAAGACTTATTGTATGAATCACTACAGTCTTGAAGATCAGCAAAGTATAAAAACAACTATCATTTGCCTTTTCTCAGTGGCATTAGCCCGTGTTTGAAAGTGCCATGTCTAATGCAAGACGTAAAGGTTTACAAAAAATTTGTGGCTGTAATTGCATGTGAAATTGTTATGAACAGTTAATGCTGCAATACAGCATTACATCAACTTCATATATAGTTTTAATTCAAGTATCAGCTACCTGTTAACTTTTATGTATGTTTCATCTTTACACTTCTAAAGAGTATTTTGACAAGTAAAACACAGGATATTCTAAAAATATTGACCTTTTTCTAGTTTTCCCATCTGTGATTTTTTTTTTAATCCATTTCAATTTACTGAAGGAGGAGACAGTACAAGGAGTTAAATGTTTACCATGAGAGGACAACATTGGTAATTACTTTGATTTCAGTTCCTTTTGATGTGTATTCAGGGGATGAAGAGGTCAATAATATTATGGCCATGCAAATAGAAAAGGGTTCTTTTTGACCATATAAAAAACAGCAAAGGATTATTAAAGCATTAACCTTGATTTTAATGGCCTTGGTTGAGTGGTGAGATCACAATTTGGATGAGCCTGATTATTTACTAAATACAATACATAAATGCAACGGGTTCTTAACACCCATTGCACTCTGGCATTATCGCATTACTGCCATCCTTTGTTGCCTTGCAGACAGGAATATGAAAGCAATCTGTCATGTAGTGAGACTGGCTCCAGAAGCATTTCTCTGATAAGAAGACCCCCTGCCCTTTGCTAGTGTCTGGTCCAGTAGGCTTAGCCATGCGCTTAATCCCCAGAAAGTGGTTCGATTATTGCTGACCAGCAATGGCAAGATAGGTTTTTTTTCCCCTAGCTATCAACCTTCCATTAATTCCTTAAGCAGAAATGCGGTGCAATCTATATTTCCTTGGCATGTGTCACCCAGATGGTGCACTGCTCATGTTTTCAAATAACCACGCTCCAAAATAACAGAGTTTGAATAATAAATTCCACAAATCCTTCCTGAGAAAGAGGCACAATTCTCAAGAGCTGCATAAACTTTACGCATGATGCTGTAGCTCATCCGCATTATGCAGAAAAGTATATATTTTCTTGCAAAGCGGATGTTTGTATCTGGATTCCTTCATTTAGGGAGAAAAAAGAAAGATATGTGTTTGCTTAAACACTGTAGAATATATTTAATATTTGATTATGTCTTAAACACTAGCCTTAGCTCCCTGGTCAGCTTTGCAGAACTTGTCATTTAATATGTCTAAGCTTAAATCCTGTGTGTAGGTCGATGCTGTCAAGCAACCATGACTGTACATTCTGGTATTGATTGGAGTCATTGCAGTGAATTCCTTCTTAACTCACATTCCTTTCCTTCCCAATCCCCTCCCCATAGATAAATGTGTGAGCATGTCTTTTTCTGTCTGAGATATTTTTTACATTTACAGACAGCCTATATGAAGATATATGTACACAGTCCTCTGTGTATATATACACGTTCTCTTTTACACATCCAAAGTAAGTGTTCCCAATTGCTCCTACTGTGCTATTTTATCACCTCAAATATTTCCTCCATTTTTTTTCTTCCATCAGATTTCTTATATTGATATACTTGGACCAGAAGGTAGAAGGATGAAACGTCACCTGGCAATAAACTGTATGCAAGATATGGTCATTTGCTGGTGGTCAAGAACTAGTGATGAAGCATGGCCTTGGTCTCCTATTTCCTGTGAGAGGGACAGAGCCAACCTATTGCTCTTAGGCTGTGCCCATGGCAAATTGGAGGTAAAGTGCTAAACTCTCTTGTTACATGATTTTTGGGATTTGCTAAAGAAATAACTGTTCAACTTAAATGCATATTCAGGTAGATATAAAGAACAGATATGATAAAAACATAAGAAAAGAAGTTCAGGCATTCTAATCTTAAAAACAAAAGTTTGTTATTTAATGAAAAAAGCACCTTATTTACTGTATTTACTATTTTCACATCAAAACTAGCAATCTGAGAAAGGAAGTTAGGTCTTTATAATAGAAGAGCTTTGGAACTGCTAACACTGATAACAAAAGTGTCAAAGTGCCACTAGAAAACTCTAATCTGAGTTAGAAATCGTAGCTGTTGCATGCTTGTCTAATGCAATTGTTTTACATTGTCTGCAATGTTAACTGATAGGCATTCAGCATCTATTTTAAGTGTTTTATTATAAAATCTTAGCTACACCCAGCTGCTGCTTAAATTGTTGCTATGAATATTGATCAAATCAGGGACCAACATTTTTCCTAAAAAAAAAAAAAAAAAAGTCAAAATTCCCCATCTACAGGTGAGAATGTAAGCTGCAAGTTAGAACAAGGCTACAAGATGACCCTCTTCCTGACACTTTCTTAGCTTACCTTTTTAGGCAGATGTTTCCATTTCATCTATTCCATTTTTATTTCATCTGTTTAAGAATATTTTAATCCAGTTTCTTATGTTAGGTGAAAACTTAAAAATGAAGCTTTCTGGGCATACTCTGAAAAGGACTGGAGGCTAAGTATAAAACGTAAAAGCTGTTTGGACTAGCTTCTTGCATAGATGGTCCTGTAGTTTTATATTCAGTTTATCTTAAGCCACTATTAATATGGACTAAAAAGGCACTGACTGTGGGAGAAGAGCACAAGCTTGAGGATCAGCTGTGGAATAGGTGTTCTGGAGCAGCTATTACAGGCTATTTTCCTGTAGGGAAAATAAGTAACACTTTAGAGTAAGCTGTTCTCTTTAATTAGCGATGATGTAAATGTTTTAATGTCTTGGAATTATTACTTTGATAACTAATATTAATTTCAGTGAGGTTTGTTTTTTTTTTTTTCCTTGGGATTTTCTATATATTGAAAGCAAAAGAGGAAAGGTAGTTGAGACAGCTTTTCTTTCTTATTTCAATCATTATTCACGGTAGAATTTAAGTTTACATTACCTCCAGTTCTGCCTTCTTTACTTCTTTTCAGTTGACCTCTCCCCACTAGTGGTCATCTTTGACTCACCTCTCTCCTCTGCCTGATATACACCTGCAGTTTGCAATTCCCCCTGCAGCTATGCCCAATCACATATGAAAATTACTCTGATAGCTAAAATGTGCGTCTGTTCTTTGTAAGTTTTTTCAGCCTAGTCCCTGTGCCAGTTTGATTTTATGAAACTTCATCCTACTGAACATTTCAGATCTTATTTCTTACCATGAGTTCTGTATGCCCAGGTTCTGACAGTGTCATTCGGATGCCTTTTGTTTCCTTCCCATGTCTTCCAGAAAGCTCCCTAATACCAACGTAGCAGTTTGCAATCTCTAATTTCTAAGATGTTTTTTAGAGACTCATTTCTTCTGAGAAATTCACAGAAACCACCCTGTCAGTTTAAAGCTTTCTCCATTTCATTTTACATGTTATAGGAAGATTTCCAAATTACAGCATTGTTCTGCATCTTTCAATACACTTTTATCCTTTTCTGGTTTAGACTCTAAATTGCTCAGGGCTGAGGCAGTCTACTGTAGTCCCAAGCACACCACTGGTGCTTAACACAATAATGATAATAAGCATGCACTGAGCCTTTAGGCCTAAACTCATAATACTTTTAATTTAGCCCATATTGTAATATAAATACAAGAACATTATTTTTAAAAGCAGAACTGCCAAATTTAGCTGTTCAGTTGATTTTGCTTTTCTGATTCTTTGCCTGTACTTGTCTAATTCTAAGATCTTCAGATGAAATTTCTTTTCCTGTATTTGTCAATAAAATACCAAGTACTATGCCAGGGCTATGGAAAACTTGGTCGTATATAGATAACAAACTGTCTTGATGGTTATCAATTAGTCTGTTCTGTGTACTTATCACTTGGATGCTCAGTGGGCTGCCGTGTAAGGCTCAAGATACTCTGCATATACGCTTCCCCTATGACATGTAGCGTATGGTACTGTTTCTTTTTTTGTGGCTTTTTCTGGCATTCTGTAGCACTCTTTATGGGCAATAGTTGGATTCCTGTGCATGGATGGGGGATGTCATAACCCAGCATCTCTAGAAGTAACATCAACCCCCAATCTGCAATTAACTGAGGTATATTTTTCCCCTACAGAGTCTTGGAGAGGAACTTTAACTTAACACCTTCAACTTCTGAGGGTCATTTGATAGCTTAAACATAAGCAAAAATGTAGTTAGTGTTTCTATACAGCTTCTAAACAGTTACTCTCCAGGTCATATACCACAAAAGTACAATGTTTCTGTAACTATGCTTATTTGCCTCTCTTTGCCTCTATTCTCTTACCGTTTGTAGTGTTCCTTAGGTATAGACCTGAAATAAAAACATGACAGGCCACTGTTACCTGTGAAAGTAAATCCATATTTATCATATTTGACCAATAATATGAATTTTCTCCCAGTAAATGATTATTGTCAATAGAAGAATGAGAAGCCTGAACTGATTCAGTTTGGAGCATTCATCAAAAAGAAGTGTAGTAAAATAATACCACCAATATTTTACTTGAAAATAGTAGCATTGCTTGGATAAAACAGCTTAGTTATCTAGAACTAAGAGAAAAGCAGGAATTGCTGAACATCTAGCCCATAAAGAGCTATTTGGCACATTGGGTTTATGAAAAATTAAACTAAGCCTGGGGAAATGAACAGGTGCTACCCACAGCCATTCTACAGCACCTTGCTGCTGACTTATAAAAACCACAAAAATATCTGCCAGCTACTGACACTCTTACTGTTGTGGCAGAGCAAAAGTAAATGGGGTACTTAAGTGATACTACTTTCTCCCTGGAAGAATTTTCTGAGTTATATTTGCTGCCCACCAGAAGAGTGGTTATTAGGATGAGGACAGGAATAGCTCTGGGACAAGGCAACTCAACCCTTCATCATGATAATATCCTGTAACTACATGTTCTGCATTGGGATGATTCACATTGCACATACAGTGTTTGGGGTATTGTGTACTTAAGCAGCTTTTCAACTTAATGGAGGAAATACATTTTACATTTTAAATACACTATCAATTTGATTTTAGATGTGCTGTGTGGCTTTCTGTTTTAACATTTGCTACTATTAAGGCTAAAGGTAGACATTATTCCTCTAAAACCAGAAAGAACTTTTCCTCGCAATCTTAACTTGTTTTTGTCTCTTCATTTTTTTTTCTGACATCAGTGTTTACTATGTTGAATGTGGTAAGATTTGGTGGGGAGTCATCCCCTGAAGAAATAAAAGTGCTTTTCTCTTTAACATATGACTTTGCTTTGGTGTGCGATGTACATTTACATACATGGATGTGTGTTGCTGCAGGAGTATTTGTCTGTTGAGCCTTTGTCTGCTTTCTTCTGTGCATTGGTTTCCTCCAATAAGCTCATCCATTCTCCAGTTTATTTAATTATTTCCGTTTTGTTTGTTTCTTCTTTGTCAAAGTACCAATGATCAAGGATGTTATTTACATTGTCTCCCTGTGGAGATAATGCTGGTATTTTGATTTCAAAACCAGAAGAGGAATCTTTCAGAAATAATTTCAAACAATTTGCTATAAATAAATAGGATCTGATGAGAAATCATCCTTGGATTAAATGCTTTGAGAGAAAGTCATGTTAAAATCAACATGAACTTTATTCTGCAAACATAAATTAACAGGTGATGATGCCAGGGCTCAGTTACTTATTGTAGTACTTTGCATTTGTCTTTGCCGTGTTTATTTTCACTCCATTTGGTGCCGGTGTGAATCACTGAAATTATACTTCAATCTTGTGGAAAAAATATTTGCCTGAAAAGGATATTATTTTTCTTCCTTCCAAGAGATAATATTTAATAGTTATTGCTTCCACATTGTGCCTCACACTTGTGAAATAAATGCAACAGATCTTTTATGAGTGAGCTATCCTACAATTACTGTAGCACTCAGAGAAACGTCTACGGTGTGTGTCTGAATAGCTGAAATACCTCTCACACATAGAGCAAAGAATGTAAAAGCCTTGATGTCACATTGGGTTAAAAGTTCAATGAATAATGTGGGATAAAGATGATGATGATAAATTTTGAAAGAAAATAAAAAGAAATGTTGGCTGAAAATCTAAATAACAAGAGTGCATGTGGGACTGTAAAAACAATGCAGCCAAATAAGTAACCTGGAGTAGAAGCCTTGCATTTTCATTTTAGAAATGTTTAAAAATAGTGTGGGTTTTTTGCTTCCATCTTCACAGTGCTGCATTTAAAACTATTTTACTCTAGTGTACACTACACTTCCCACTCTACGTTTCTAATTAAAGTGTTTGTTGTTATTTGGAGCCTCACTGTGTGAAATTAAATAAGCTTTTTTTTAGCATCCATAAAATAAATCAAACATTTTTCTCATCTGAAAGACACAAAATTCAGTCACAGCAAGCGTATTTCCCTGTTTCTTCTGTTTTTCTTTTTTTATCTGCCTGCTAAGCCAATTTTCTGCTTAAGAACTACTGGTTAAAACTCTTATTTGTTTTGATATGTGGATTTTATCCTTTCCCAGCATTCTATGCAAAATACTTCAATTTTAAGTGTTCAAAGATTTTGCACAGAGAAAGGTGATACTGCCTACACAAGCTAGTGCTATTATTTCTTTGAAACACAAAATGAAAGAAAGTAATCTAACTAGCATAATTCAGGTCCTTTATTTATAAAGGTTAACAGATTCCTTTACTTGGATTGTTACGATTTCTGACTCTAGGATTTAAGAACTTGACGGTATCCCTCACACTGCTGATTAGCTGATGCAGAGCACAGGCCAGTACTGCGAGGGGAAAACAATGTGAAGCTGCAGTAGTGGTGCATGACTCCCACATTAATAACGGGAATATGTGTAAATTATGTGGACAATATTTAAATACATTACTGTATTTTTGTAGCATACATGTCACAAAAATAAAAGGGACTTCATAAATTTTTAATTATTTATTTATTTTACAGAAAGTAATTGGTTTTACTTCATGCAAAGTACTTCCAGAAATCTTCCCTTGAAATCCAAGGCTAAGTGCTTAGTCCAAGATTTATGGAAAGCACTTAATGTTGGATAGGATTATATACTCCGAGATGTGATATTACAGCTCTGTCCTTTTAGATCTGCTGCCCTGGTCCCCTCTTCTGCAAATCCTACAGTTGTCCTACCCACTTCTGAGGGAACTCCTCCAGCTTTTTTCCACAAGCAAATGTATTGTTAACTTAAAGATATATTGCTGTTTTAATGTTTCCCTTTAGGGTTCCAGAGAACTACTGCTCACTGGGAAGGAATCCTGGTGGATTCCTTTAAATGGACTGCTAAAGCACTATATGTGCTACATTTACTAGCATGTGGCTGCTTACTAGATAGAAGAACAATTGGCAGGTAATGGAGTACCATCTTCCGGGAAAAAAGATGTTTTGATTGTTAGACTTGTTATTTTTCAAAGGCATTATCTCAGCCTTATTAACATGTTTGTGTAGTTGTATGTCTCTCTGCTTTACTTTTCCTGTTAGCGGCATGAAGAATTAATAATTAAAAGTCATTTCTGACAGAGAAACTCAAATCTTCCCTCTCAGATGAAAGAGAATAGAATTTTTTTTCCCCCTTCAGAGTGCCAAACACCAGTTACATTCAGCAAAACTGGAAACCAGAACAAAGAGGTCTCTCAGCTTGGTACTTTTCCTCCAAGAGGCACATGAGGCCACTGATGCATGAGAAGCAGCTTATCTGTTCCAATCTAAGGAGAAATGTTTCTCTTGTTTTCAGACAGAGTATGAACAGTAGTCTCTAGAAAAGTTTCCTTTAAGCCTAATTTGTTTAAAGATTATGTCACAACTTATGATTTGAAATGGAGCAAATAGTCTTCCTCTCCTCACAGGAACTTCCTAGTTTAGAATTGTATTACATACGGCAGCCAGCCCTACCCTAGACTTAATTTCAAGGATTTGCTCTCAAAATTATGTGAAGCTAGGAATCCTGTCATCTCAAGGCTCATTAAATTAGCCTTCCAAAATGTAAGATTTTACTTGCTTTTAAATTCAAAGTAGTGAGCAACGTTTTGTCCCACTTTTTCTCTAGCAAGGCAGAACAAAGTTATTAATTGGATTTTGGTTGCTTGCTGACTCTCGAGTGATCAGATGACAGCATTTATTTTTCTGTTACTATTTCCATTGCTGTTTTCCAGAGCTGTAAAAGCCATGTTTCCTGTGTTTTCTTCTCTATTGTCTTAACCTTCTAGGCCAGTGTCTCTTCAGAATTTAATAGTGCTTTCAGTCTTTCATCTCTCATAGGCTTGATTATGGTGTGGATCTTCATGACTTTCTTGTAGCTTGTGAGGAGATGTCCAGAGAGGAACACTGGTTTTGGGATCAAAATATGTGGGTGAATAATGCAGTGCATTGAAACCTGCCACAGAAAGACAGAAATCTGAGTCCCAGAGGGCCTCAAGGCTCATTTCACTGAAGTTATGGAAGCTTTGAATACTTGCTTGGGCAAGATTTCTGTTTCACATATTTGAAAGGCAGCTACCTGGGTCTCTATACATACTTTTAGGGAAAACTGCAGAACAAACAATAACACTTCACCTTGTCTTTATTTGGGGTTAGAGAGCTCTGTGGTCACAATAGTCTTTTGTCCACAATAACGTCTTTTATGGGTGTCCTTACTATGCAATTTAACACCTTAATAAGCTACACATTTCAGCAGTTCTAATATCTGCACAGTAGCCACTGCATATTTTGTGGGCATAAATTACCAGCTGCAGGGGCTAAGTCAGTGGTAAGGGAATGGTAGAGGTGAGGAAATGTTTTTCAGACTATATAAGTAGTTTAATCTTTTATTTCCTCTTTGGTATATATTTTAATTGATCACTACTTGTTGAAATTGGCTTACCTGTTTTTTACAAGTTGGATGCATTGGCTTCTGTATTAGATGCTTTTGCATTAAGTGGTTCTTTGCACGTCCCTCACTACTCATCTTTAAAGTAGCTGAGATTTTTGCATTAACTGGCAGCTGACTTGCAGCCACAGAATTGCAATAATCCTTTTTTCTTTGTTTTGAAAGAGAAACCCTTTTACTGACAAAATAAGTAAACTGTCAGAGCAAAACATCCTAATCAGTCTGATCAACATGCCGAATAACTTGTTTATAAATTCATTGGTTGCTTCTGAACTAATGGGTGATATGCCAAAAAAAATTCTTATTCTTTTCCTTTGCAGGATGAAAGGCTAAATTATATGTTCAGTTGGTCTTGTGATCTGTGGAAATAAAATTTCCACTACTTTAACATTGTGTTTCCATTTCTGTTTTCAACCTGAAATTTCTAGATTTCTTCCCTCACCCTCTCTCTGCCCTTTAATCACATTTGTTACCCCTTTCAGTGTAAATGGTACTTGTATACCACCTGGGCTCAAAAGAGTGGGCTTCCAAAATTAGTGGCAGGTCAGCACCTTTAGTTTATAGTGTGAAGAATGCTATGGGTATACCTGATGGTGGGGTTTGACTCAGTTGGACATTTTCCTCTCAGTCTTTATTTGTGCATGAACAAACACCAAGTTTCTGGCTTCCACTAATCTCATTTTTCTGGAGACATTGGTTTTCTCTCTCTTTCAGAAAAATGGCTTCTCATAAGCTAATTTGTAACTTATTTACGCCTGGTATTTCTCCCACAATTTTGCTGCTCAAGTCCTGTACAATACCTTTTGCTCAAACCCATGTATTATAGGACAGGAGTCTTCATTGGTCTCCACTGTTGCCTCCATCACTTTATGGTACTTCCCATGTTTCCACACTACAAATTCTTGCTTTTTGCCAGCTGCTGTCTTTGTATCGTGTTCTGCTTTTGTGTTCCTCTTCCAGTTCATTCAACCATCAAGTACCCCTAGATGGTCCCCTTTTTCTGCTATCACAAATTCATTTATTCTGCATCTAAAGCTACATGGCACCAAAGAACTCATTTGATAATGTATAGTATACATTGTTTAAACATGCCATTGTTTCTACTACTACAGTGTAATATTTTCTGTTATTACCATGGCCCAGAGCAAATGATCAAAAATCTTTATGTGTGTTGCTCAAGAGTAACCTATTATAAATTTTTCCAGGAATTTTAGAATTTCTCCCCCTCCCCACTTATGAATAATCCTTTATTCTTTTATATCAGTCAGCTGCTCATTTCTTCTCTTACCAACACTCTTGGGACCATCCCTTCTTCTATCTTCTATTCTGATGACCTGTTATATACTCTGGACAAACAAATACGGCTCAAACGATGTTGCAGAGGTTTTTAATCAAAGGAATTAACCTTTAAACCAGTAGATTTTACAAGTCCATTTCTAAAACGCATATTTGTTTTAGCTTACTGACCCATGAGAAACCGCATTTGCAGCAATCTATTTTTTAAATCATCAAAGTAAGAATAAGTTGTTACAAATGACTACCAAAATGTTTTGGATTTTTTTCAGGTTCTGAGTTACGTCCGTACAGAATGGGATCCACTCAATGCTAACTTCAGCACTAATCAGCCTTACCAGGTTTACACAGTAGAACACTCCATCTCCGCAGACAAAGAGCCCATGGCTGACAGCTGCGTCTACAAGTGTGTCAGGAACAAAATTCAGTGTGTGGCAGTCACCAGAATACCACTGCGATCCAAGGCCATCAGCTGTTGCAGAGACATTACAGAAGACAAACTAGTCCTGGGTTGTGAAGATTCGTCAATAATTCTGTATGAAGCCTACAACCAAGTGACTCTGTTAGCCCAAGCAGAACTGTTGCCTTCTTTAATAACCTACCACCCTTCCGGAGCTGTATTCATAGTTGGCAGCTCTCAAGGGGAGCTGCAACTTTTTGACACTGCACTGTCCCCAATTAAAATTCAGCTCTTAGCACAAGACTATTCACCTGAGGCAACTCTGCAATTCAGTAAACACTTTGACGTTCCTAGCAGCCTTATCCAGATCCAGTGGACTGCTCCTCAAGTGGCATCTGCCAGCACTGACGGCACAGATATTCATGATCTTTTGCTGATTAGATTTGACAAAGGACCCTTAGGAGCACTTCACTTTAAACTTGGTCAGTTACTGGGCACATCTGTTGAACCTTGAGCTCTCAAGGAAACATCTGTACCTCACAAGTTTTCTGTAGTTTGAAAGCAACACCCTCATTTTAGATATATAGGACCATAGCCTTAAAAGGACATAGTTCCAATCATATCTGAAGATGTGAACCAGGGAGTTCATTGTGTTTCACAGTTACTTAATACCTTTTCATGTGGGGTCTGACAGAATAGGACCCCCATCTGTTGTTGGATCAGACTCCCATTATGTTCCCTGCTATTCTAATAAGCATAACAATTTCTCATATTGAAAATTCTTTTATTCTGTAGTATGTAACTTTAGGAATTGTATTCATTCTGTAGTGATACCCCCAACAAGTTAAAATAAGCTATTTTTAATAATAGAATAGTAATGCTATTTTCTTTCCTAAATTGTTTTTTTGTACATATGATGCAACTGTCCTTTCTATTATAATGTCCCAGTACTCTTCTTCCTGACTTCAGTACATGAAGTTCTTTCCTTGAAGACTTTTCACATGAGAAGGAAGGTTTTCGTAACCTTCAGAGAAGTTTGGTCTCTCAATTAATTTATCGGGAGTTGTGAGCAAAATAAGAAGTAAAACCACTAATTTTAGAATTTGAATAGCACTTCTTGTTTCAGGTGTAAGACGACTTGTAAAACCATAACTACCTTCATTTTCAAACAGAATAACAAGAAGCAGTAAAGGAAAGCTAAAAGGCTTTCCAAGAGTTACGCAACAAGTCAGTGGTTGAACTAAGAATAAAACCCCTGCAGTTGCTCATCGGTGAGAACTGTATTCATTCCATTCAAGTCAGGCAAGTTACAGTGGTGCAAACCCACTGAGAGAGCTAAAAAAACAATCATGCTTAAATCTTCTGACTACCAAGCCAGTGTTTCAGCAGGGTAGACAGCCGTGTCAAATATACTCATCCTGGAAGATTTCCACATTTTGCCCATTGCCTGTCCAAAGAAACAGGATTGCCTTTGTAGATCTTTACAGGAGTTTTTAATGATTCTGTTGTATAAAGCCATTGAGATTAGGAAGAAGCCTTCTTTAAAAAATACCTAGGTAACAATAAGGATTGAAAATCTACTTTATTTCTTTACTGATTGAGACATGCATCTGCTTTTGTGGAGAAGAATCCTGTCTAAAACTACTGCAGACCTAACATTTGAAAGCCTGAATTTAAAAAATTTAACTAATTATACCACTGCAAAAAGATAAATTAATATAATAGGATGTTAACAACAAAAATGTTGGATGGGCTTATGGTTGTATAGTTTTAAAAGAGCTGATCCACGTTATTACTGTTATCCAAAAATACTATTAAAAAACTGTTTACAAGGTATATTTTGAGATAATTCAGCTGCATTATGTTCAATGACAGGTTTAATAGTTGCAGAGTACCCCAGAACACCAATTATAAGAGCTATTTGATGTTTTTGTGCATGTTGGCCGTTAAAAAAAACACCCTCTAAATTACCTCTTACCTGTCAAGCAGAAGGCACTCTACCCACATCTACCTTGCTTTTCTTCAGTCCTCCCTTGTGGGGTATTCTCACAACAGCTTTCCAGAAAGCACAGCTTTCCACTTGCTATCTTTAGCACATTTATGTTCTTATGAAGGCAAGCAGGCTCTCAGTGCAGGGATTTAGAGGCCTTTCCTGCTAATTGCCAGCTTGTAAACTTAATTGGACTGTCTCCCTGGGCACCGTTCCTAAATCAATTAGGCAGTGAGTTGGCTGTCACCTCTTTTTCCCAAGCAGGTTGCCTGGAAGCGCACCACCCAGGAGAAGTCAAGCATCCAAATGGGAAGATGTTGACCTCTACAGCTGAAAGTTATCGCATTTTAAAATTCATTCTGTATAAGTACTGTAAAATCTCTTTTAGTAAGAATGGAAAGCTCTCTCTGTCCTGCCTCCCTCCCTCTTTGTAGTCCACTGTGCAAAAATGTTGTTTTCTATTGCATCCTGGTTTTCAGCTTTACCCCTCTTCTTCTTGGTCTGCCACACTACCAAGGCAATGCTATGTTGATTAGTTAGTGCCTCCTTCTAACCCCAGCAATTTTTAGGTCTCTGCTATTTAAGAAATAATGCAAATATAAATTATATGGAAAATTTAGGGGTCCATGACAGCAAAACCCAGACAGGCATTCAGGACTAAAATAAAATCTGTAATTAACTCATGGCTTGGAATTGTTTCCCATGAGTCTGTTAAGAAACTATGTCAATGAGAATAGGCAAATGTGTTTTTAACTTCCAGCTGACGTATTACGATTTTGGACAAGTTCTGTGAATTCTACATTGTGCTGTCTAGGCAGATTTATTTCAGGAAAAGATTCATATTAAATTTACCCTCAAATATTAATGGCAAATATTTTTGGTGTCTAATGCCAAACTCATTTTCAAAAGCATTGCGGCTTCTTGTCATTGATGTCAACCCAGATCTTGGATAATGCCAAACTTGGTACTGGTGCCAGTGGTTCAGCATTGCTGGCCTCGAAAGACATTTTAAATATAGCATTATATTTAATTAGCGTGCAAATAAGTATTTTAATCTTCACTTAGTGATTAATGTGAAGATTGCTCAACTTATATAATACTCTAAAAACACTAAAAATTTAAGAATAATAAAGTCTACCATAACAATTAGATATTATCACACATACACAGGTTAAACATGGCTATTACACAGTATAATGTCCATAGGATTTAATACATGCAAATGTAAAGTCAAATGCAATAGACAACCATGTCTTTTCTTTAATGACACTACAAAACTAAGGTATTTCTCTGGTACAAAAAATAAACATGTAAGTTTTTTTTCCCAAAGGATCAGATCCATATAGGCAAGTTCTCAGCTACTTGTCCTCAGGCTTTAGACAGATGTTTTCCTCTACTTTTTTCCTCAATTCTTATTATACATCACAAACAATATTCATAACTGCATTATGCAAATTTTGTGAGGTATGTTTTCTATATATCAGGTCTGCTTTTCTCTGTTATAAGACTATTTTTCCCCAACCATCTTACAGCTTTAATATCAGTATTGAAATTCAACTTGTTCCTTTTCTCATCAGAATTTTTTCCTTAAAATTAGTTTTAACAAACAACATCACAATATAAATTGAGAAATTTTTTTTAAAAGTTATGTTTTTATTTAAAGAGAGGGGAACAGTAAGTTTATCCTGGTCTCTTTCTAGTATCTGGAGCAGCAGTGATAAAGAATACTCTAGCACAGTGACCCCAAGCAAGCAAGACTTGCTAAAATGCATGTGTGGCCTATGTCAGATGATCATATGGGTAGTCAGAGACAGTAAATAACAATTACTCTCTGCAGCTTTTCAGTCACGTTTTCTGTCCAGAAGCTGAGACCTACACGTGAAGAAAATTTGAGTCTTTTAATTTCTACTTTCCAGAGATAGAGTGCTGTAGATAAATCACGTTCTCATGGAGTGAGCGATGTGTTGCTTATTTTTTTCCCTTATGGCAAGCATGTTCTTGGTTTCATGTGCAACTGTCATTCAAAGATCCCTAAATGTTGATATCATTCATGATATCCCCACACAGAAGAAATGCTTCACTTAGAGAATTTTGCCAATATGGAAAGTAATTGAGTATCTGGTGCTTTGAAGTGTGAGATGCTGTTAACTTTTATACATAGGTACATTTCTTGGAGACAGATTCTATTTTTTAGTGTTGTCCAGCAGTATTTCCAAAACACCAGGAACGTGAATCTGTTACTTCCAATGCAATAATGATAAACTGGGAATAAGCTTTTTCTACCACATTTAAAACAAACTTCATTACATGATCTTGTCACTAGTAGGTACTGGCCATGTTCGCTGAACCTCCGTGTGTGAAGTTCATTGATGTTTTTTCTCTGCTGTCCAGAGCACCCTCAGTCTAAACATACCAAGATAATAAGGAGCTATCTCACATAAAAATTTTATAGTGAAACTCATTAACTTAAAACTTCCTAATTTTAAAAACAATTCTTTTTAACTGTGCTGAAAAGTAGTCAGCTACTGGTTTGCATACTCATAACACTATCCTTGGTTTTGTTATTTCCTGTAAAAGGTGTGATCACAAGAGGACAGCTGGGCCTTGTGGAAATCATCCACCAGTACATTCGTTACGATGAGATACATGAGGCAATTAATGTCCTGAACACCATGAACTGGAACACAATGGGTTGTCAGTGTTACATATGCTTGACTGCCATTGTCAATCACCTTCTTAAACAAAAGCTTACACCAGACAGAGAAGGTAAGGGACTGACTGTATTTTTAATGTATTTTTGTGGTGTCTTTGTAATTCATATGTGGATTATGACAATATATTTATTGACTTTATAAAGAAGACCATACTGGGAGTCCAGGCAGTCAGACAGATTTTGGTACTCCATAATCAAATGTCATGATCAAATGATGTGTAGACACATCATTTCAATAAATTCTGGATCAATGTGTTAATTGTATTTTAGTTCATTTGTATTAATAGTGATACTAAATTAATGAATATTTTAATATATATATGTTATAGTCATTACTTAATATATATAGCACTATCTTACTTGTGCTGTAACTTTATTACATTGCATTAATTTACCTTATGTTACAGACTAATGTTAGTTAATATGGGATTCAAATGTTTGTAATGTATTCATACTGAGACAGCACCAACTTAAGGAGGGACATTCTCCTGCAACGGGGACAAGAGATTTTAATATGGTTTTTAAGATGTTTTTGAAGGGTCATTCTTTCATTACAAGATCCAAAGGCTTTGAATACACTATCCTCTGCTGCCTCCTTTAGGATTACAGCATTTGTCCTCACTGTAATCATCTGGCCCCCTGCGGTAGTAGCTGGGTTCCCTTGGAAGAAATGATGAATTTTAGGTTCAGACCCATCTCTGCTGAAGCCTGGTGTGATGCCTTCCTCTTGATTTGCTGTCTATCTTGAAACTCAATAGACTTCAAGATTTAAAGTGCCTTGATTTAGTGGAGGTGTTATCCTGCAGGCTAGCAGGCAGACAGCTGGGGACCAGGCATCTTTTGTGGCAAGAAAGAATACTTAGGATTCTGGTGTGTTTGATGATAGAAAAACTCCAAGGTGTCCTACATTGCTGCCAAGCTCTCAGCTATCCCATTTTGGGGGATCTGATTAAAAAAATCTCTGCATTGCAAACATAGTGTGTCAGTTCTAAATAAAACACGTTTTTAAAAGGACCCATGAAAAGAGCTAGTTTTCAAACTCTTGTAAAAATATGCACATTATAAATAGATGTCTGTGTGTTTCCTCCCATGCAGCTCCCTAATGTTGTTTACAGCAGATGGAATTTCATTCTGTCCAGGAGTTATTCTATATGAATCTAAAAAAATTGGCATGGTAATTTGTTTTCTTTTTTATTAGCAAAACCCAGTGGGGCCTTTTATTTATAGTGATGGGGCAGTTATCTTTGAGACCTTTATTCTGCCTTCAACATCAAGCTGGGCTAGCTAATGAATCTATAACTGTGCTAGTAGTTACTCATATTCCACATATGTTGAAATATTTCAGAAGTACAAAACATGCTGTCAAGAAAACAGCAATAGCAAGACAGTATGGTGTGTTTTTGCAAAGGTACTGCTGTATTCAATTTTAATCTAAATTGACTGCTGCTTTGAAAGAAAATACCTTTAAAGTTCAGCTTACTTATCTGTCTAGATTTAAGATAACGCAAAACCTATTTTACTAACAGTTTGCCTATGTTCCTAACACAGTACTATTAGCACATTTAGTGCTATCAAGCCCAATAAAATGAAATGTAACTATGATTGGAAATAAGGAACCATTATGACTAAATACAGAAATGGCTACTTCAAACAAACGTTAATAACAGCAAATCAATGAGTTTTTGTTTGCCTAATGAGACAATAGGTTATATTTTGCTCTTAAACCCCACACAAAATTCTGATTAGCAGTAGCAGTTTGCACATTCACTCTGAAAGGAGAACCTATATAGCAAATAAATAGCAAATTCTCATTGTTCTGCCTATAAGGTCTTGTACTACATTAACTCTCAAGCAAAAGTCACGTAACAAAAATATTATTAATCATGAAATTTCCTTTCAGCTAAGCATGTGGGACACAAATGTATACAATGTATTTTCTTGTATTTATAATTTTGTATTAAAAACATGTAGAAAACTGCCTAAGAGCTCCAGCTGTGGCATGTAGCAGTCAGAAAGTATTTAAAGCAAAGGGAACTTCTGTAACAAAAGGGCTTTATTTTATTGATTACAAGAGAGGTTATCGTGTTTTCCACCACTACACGCTATAGGAGAGTCAAACCCCTAGGGTTTCTAGACCCTTTTATTTAGAGTTTTTAAAGAACTGTTGGCTAAAGGAGGTTCCTTAAACCTCAAGACCATCACAAGAAGGGTTCTGTCACCTGCTGACCTAACACAGTAATCCCTGAAAAACTGAACTTCCTTGTTGTTTGCCTGGGAGGACAAAGATGATTTGAGCTAATTGAGAGTTGGACAAACTTGTTCAAAATGTATTGCTCTTATGAGTCACTTTTAATTGTACACTGCTGGTGAGAACTTGATGTATTACAGACTTCTTCATCTTTTTGACAGCTTTTGTTGCTCAAAGTCATTGTCAACTCTGCCTCAAAGTGAAAGTTTATATGGACATTTGTGTTTGTACAATCTGTCACATTTTAATTTCATCTGTCCTACAACAACATCACATTTCATCAGTGTTTGAGGAATTTGACTGACTGCAAACATGAGCAACCTGTTGTAATTGGAACAGTTTCACTTGTTTCGTTGCTGTTGTGTTTGAACTCCACAGCACAGCTTGAGGCAAGCCTTGGAACCTTTTATGCTCCAACAAGACCCCTCTTGGATACAACTGTGCTAGAGTACAGGGACCCAATCAGCAGATATGCAAGAAGGTTCTTCCACCACCTGCTCAGGTGAATGACAGTTTTAACTTCTATCAACTTAAAATTAACTGCATATTTCAATAACTACCTACTTTAATGTGGTTAACATTTTCCAAGAGGACCACCCCTGAAAAAAATGCATTCTTTGTTACTGTTTGTTTAACTTGCACTTCGTTCAAGTACAGTATTGCAGATAAAATGCTATTCAGAGCTCTTCTATCATCAATACACTTAAAATGAATCACCCTTTCCCTTTTAGCTTGACAGAAAAAAGATAGCATGCTTCTAAGAGATTTATATTCACCAACTGGTTGCAGATTAACTATTGAAATAGCTTACAAACTTGGAGAAAACACTATGTTTAAATAGATGCTAAAATGCAAATGAACAGTGCACAGTCCAAGACATTTTTGTCTTTGCACCACTGAAATCTGAGCATTTTGTTATTCTCATCCTCGAAGTTCTCATACAGAAATTCATATTCCAGTTATTTTCAGTGAATTTTCAGTGCCACTAAAATAAGAGGAGAAAATGAAATGTTGCATTCGTCTGTAAATTGTATGACATTAGAAGAGTCATAATACCAAATTCAGATAGAATTTATAGTAGGTTGGTTTATTGCTATATTTTTGCTTCATAATAAATTAATAGCCTAAATTTCAATAATTTATAAATATTAATATACAGCAGTTTAACCTGTTTGTGTGTTCAACCAGAAATACAGCAAAAGCATTCCTTCTGAGAATTATCGAGTGGGTGAAAATAGGGAGAAATTACCTTCTGAATGATACATTGTTTGTAACACCTTGTTGAGGAGGACTGTAGATGGACATAGTGAGAAGACTTGCAATGCACCCTTTTTCAGTGATTCATCCAGATTATATACATTGTGAGCATATGCAAAGCTAGGAACTGCAAGCTACCTTGATAGTACAGTTTGTGCTTCTTTCTAATCTTAAAGAGAAATATTTTATACTGCCTTCTGCGTTTTGAATCTGAATAGGATCATCATTCTGCTAAACCGGTCCATTCCAATGGGGAAATTATTCTGAATAGGAGAATGCTCCAAATATCTGCATAATATGCACCGGCCTTTTGCTGGGGTTTTCTTAATTGATGTGGCCACAATAGTGGGTACAAACTGCTTTTGCCTTTCTCCTAGAAATCAGCAGGGAAGATCTGTTGCTGCAATGGCCAACTGTAGTGGCTGTGGGCCAGTTGCCTGCAGAGGACAGATGTGGAAAGAATGCCTCAGAGATTGCTGAGAGGTGTAACTGTAGTGCTCTTACATCTGCAAGAGAAAGGTGTATTCCCTCTGACTCAGGATTTGCTTCCAAATGCTAGCAGGCATGCAGAGGCATGGGGCCCTGGCTAAGCTTTCAGCCCTTGGGGCTGCTGAACACAGCTGAAACACTGACTCAATCCCCCTAGCAAACAAGAAACTTCAGTGTCAGAATGTTGCCTGGACAGTGTGGGGCACAGACAGGAGGTGTGTTGGAGAGTCTCCCCTTGTCTTTTACCTCCTCTCTAAAGCAGCCCTTGAACAATCTACTGTTGTGGCAATTTTTGGAACAAATGTGTGTTATTTTGCTGTTTCCCTATTGTCAAAGGGATTTGTATTCAACTGAATCAAAGTGATAGTATCATGTGATTGCTGCAGAACAGATGGTAATGCTTAAAGCTTATCTGAGAAGACATAATCTAAGTACAAAATGAAATGTTCAAAAATGGGAGATTTATCTGATAGAAAGCAAGAAAAGTATGTCCAGAGCTGATCTTTATTGTATTAAAGTGGCTGTGCCTTAATTGGTGTTTATTTCCTGTTAGATGTTTTCTTAAGTGACTAGGATGATTTGAATGTAGGCTAAGCAGAGAGTACTACAGATTTGTTGGAGGAATGGTAAAGCATGGATCTGGGTGAGAGAATGCCATCTAGGCATGATGCAATGTCTAGGAGAATCACAGGGAGGCACAATGCTCACTAGTTCCTTCAGGCATGTGAAAGTTGCAGCTGTTGCTATTACATCTGTCTGAGAGGAGCCAGCAAGGCAAGCCACTTCTGCCAGCCTGCATTTACAATTTTGAGTTCAGAACAGGAAGAAAAGTGAGAAGAGAACTATGCTCTTGCCTTTTCAGGTCACCATATTATGCCCATGAGCACACTGAAAATGGAGTAGTCCTCCCACGACCTGTTTGTTGGAAACAACTGTATCTAGGTGTTTTTTAAGTCAGTTTGGTGCTCTCTGCCTCAACCTTCATTACTTGATTTATTCACTTTTTTACCCTTATTCATATAGCACTAAATACTTGCAAGCTAGTTACAAATAGCTAATGAATCTCTTCAGAGTGAATTTGTGTCACAGCAGGTGTATCTGCCTGCCCAACCAAGAAGACTTGAAAGCAGATGCACTGTAAAATGTCAATGCCAACTTGATGCAGCAGGAGGGGACATTTGTTACTCTCTTCTGAGCATGGGGAGACAAAAGCAAAGTGATACTTTGAACCCCATAGCAGCAAGTAGAGGAAATATAGCGCTTCCTAAATTACTTTGCTTCCTAAATTACTTTCACTGTAAGTATGGGTGATATGAAAAAAATATTTCTTGGAATGGAGTAGGGCCTTCTGCATTTCCTGTGGGCTTCAGAGAAAGCAAGCAGCAGATGCACGGATGTTAGATCTAGAGGATAAGGGGTGAAAATACACGGGGAGAAACTCAGAATTGGGGTAGGAAGAGTGAGGAAAGTGGGGTGAGGAGCATGAGACAAAGAATTTGGGATGAAGGAGTAAGGCAGGGATGTGGACAAAGTCCTGCAAAAGGGCAGAGTGGGAGCACAGAGTGCAGTGGGGGAAGACAGGTTAGACAGCTTGTGTGTGGTGGGCTATAGAGGAGACCAGACACATAAGGGATGGACAGGGAAAGGTGGAATCTGTCATACAAGATTAAAACACTTAAATATTTCTAGATCTACATCTGAAAAATGTTCATATAAACAAACATTTTCACCCCCTCTCCAGCTTTCCTTTGAATGCCCCACCAATCTGCCTTAAGCCTTTTCTTGAAGGACCCACTCTTGGGAGAAATATTAATTCATTCTACATGCTGAGACAATCTTTGACCTGCCTGCTGAGCCTGCCAAAAAGGTGCCAGTTATTGTTGTACTTTTTAAGATGTGAGTGTCTGTATTAACTAGAATTGAGAAATACAGTTACCTTTTCAGAAAGGCTATCCTCACCTCGTAATAATCATGTGCCAATGATTTTAATCTTTGCTGTAGGCTGAAAGGTTGTATATCCAATTGCAAATAACTGAAGACATCCATTTTCACATTATCAGTGAGATTATGGGCTAACAATTTTTCTACCATCAAAGAGATCAGTTTCTAGAAAATCCTGAACACTGTGATGGTAGGTTCCCTCTTTTAGGTGTTGGGCACTTTAGAAAAAGATGCTGCATAATTACAGGCTGCATTGCAATTATGGGTTAGAAAAATGGTACTGCAACCTGAGATGGGCCAAGGAACACTGACAGCACAATGGAAATGGATCACAATTAGAAGGAAGGAAAATGCTTTGCAACATATTTCATGTAGCCATGTTTTTTGGATCGGTTGTTAAAAAAGATAAGTTCTTAAATTTGCAAACCATGTAGCATCTTCAGCTTCCACTAAAATAGAAGCTTAGAGCTTTGCAGGTAAGGATCTTGAATATAGAATATGGAATACCTCCAAAACCAGGCGTTCAGTATACAAAATTAAAATTAAAGGCCTCTTAATTATATGCCAGGGAACGTTTTCAACAGTATTTATGGAATGAATAATTATTTTCACTTTAAATTCTTATCTATAATTTAAAAATGCAGGAACTGAATTACAAATATAAAAATATATCTTAGGTGTTCTTTGCCACTTGAGTGGCACTCCGGTATTTTATTATGATGTCACTGCTCATAATGATATAATGCATTATATCATTATGTAAAATGTTGAGCAGAGGTGGTTTTGTTAGGAAACCTTGGGGACCTGTACCCTTCTTGCCCCCACACTTTTGTTGAATGCTGCCTACTAAGTGTGTTTGTGTAATGGGGGAGTGACTGTACAACCTCCTGCCTCTGTATAACAGCCTCATCTAGCCAGGTACAGAACATGGAACAGGATGGAATAGTTTTTCACTCGTTAACTATGGCATCGCTGACTCATGGCTTTGCTTCTCTGATCAAGCTTTCATAAATTGTGCTTGTCATATTTTCTAATGCATGAAATTATCTTGTTTGTTTGACACACACACAGAGGCACAAACACACACCTGCTCTGTTTTGTTCAAATTTTTCTGTCTCTCTCAGACAGACAGTGAGAAAGTAATGTAGCATGAGCTGGAGGTAAAGATTGGGCTGGAAAGTAAAGTCTGAAATGCAGCTCAGGAATTGTAGAATTAGAGTGGAGCCACCGGTCTGTTTCTGCTGTGCCCTTTCCTCTTTTGTAATTCTGTTCTTGTGTTTGTGAATATGCAGTTAAGGATCTTTCAGCCTTTTTTTTACATGGAAAAATACTAAGATTCAAAATGATTCAGAGCTTTCCATCCGATAATTCCATTAAGAGAATGTAATTTTTTTTTCCCATAGTACAAATATGTTTCCCTACAAAACAAAGCTCTGTTGTAAACAACAAGATAGTGCATTTGCTTCCTTCAGAAGCAAAGTGCAGCTCTGATCACATTCACCGGTAGGATTTTGGATGCATTCATGAAGGATTCTCCTTTGTCTGAATCAAAAAATGAAAACCTCCACCATGTTTTTACTGTTATTGTTTTCACTCCAGAACAAATCTCCTCAGAAGTGTTGTGTGCTCTTCCCAGAATTGAGTGTAAGATGCTACTGGTTAAATGCAAAGAAGAATTTAGCTATGTGTTGGGCAGAACATTCATAAAGTGGTATGACTTTACACACAGAACTTGATAGAGCTCCTTTGTAAATAAACACTCATCAAGAAGATTAGAAAGCAGGTGATCATTAGCATCATGGGAGATCTGCTTCC